TCAATATATTAGCTTGGTTCAATAATTAAAATATGGTTCTATGTAAAAAAATCAATTTGGATCAATGCAAAATTTAAAGTTTCAGTCAAGTCTAGTAATATTGTTTATATCAACATAAAAGTATCAGGTCATATCAAGTGACTCAATTTGGATTCTATGAAGTCAAATATTTTGGATGTGACAATTGGACATCATTTTTTTAAAATTTGAATAGGGTTATTCTTTTTACAGTGTGGAGTAATTTTGTTGCATTGGCCACTCTTGGGAAGGTTCGCTACTCTTCCATGTTTTTCGCTATTTGTGGATAATGGCTCTCACTGTGGTACGCTGAATTCCAACAGCCACCAACAGGTTTATAAACCTTTCCACACGTAGAGATCTCGATTTCTTTGTTTCTCATTTGTTCCTGAATTTTCTTGGATCACAGCATTATGTCTGGCTTTTTTGGTCTACCACACATTGTCCGGCTGGTCCTGTTTAAATGATTTCTTGGTTGAGAACAGGTGTTGCAGTTATGGGTCTCAGGTGTGGCTGACGAAATTGAACTCGGCTTTCCAAAACAAATTTGAAAAGCTATGATCACAGGTAATTTTTGTTATATAGACATTCTTATATATAACATTTTGTTAGACAGGGCCATGTGTGTTTGGGATGTTTTTCTCCTCTTAAAAATATAAATGTTCATTTAGGCATTGAATTTTTTGTTTACTTGTGTTATCTATGTCTAACAGCTTAATTTGTTTGATGATCTGAAACATTTAATTGTGACAAAAATGCAAAAAAAAAAAAAGGAAATCAGGAAGGGGGAAAACACTTTTTCACACCACTGTACATAGGAGGGGGGACTCCAGACGCTAGGATTTGCGTGGGTTAGCAATTCTAATGGCTGTATCTGTAGCAATCCCAGGATTAAAAGGAAATTTATTTGCTCAAGAGAAGCTGAAAGTAGGAAGCTATTTTATTTCTGCTCACTGTCCAGAGTTCTTACAGTAACATTCAGCACTACAGTGAGACGAGGTGAGTGTTGTAAGAGGGTAGGAAGAGTGTGGCTCAGGGGCAGATTTTGACTTTCCCTCTTAGTCATGGCTTGCATGAATTTTAATTCAGTGTCTAGCTTTGGAGCTCTCCACCAGACAGCCCGAGGGAGGAGAGCATTGCTTGCACCCTTCTTTGCCTCAGCAGTTGGCCTGAACTCAGGGTCTCCAGCAGGGCTGGTGTCACACAGATGCGACTCTCCATCCATCAGCTGCTGCAGCCTCGATAGCATGTGCCCTAACAACAGTTGTGTGATCCATTTGCCACCTGCAGATGATATGCCTCAAAGGTTCCTTCTCACAGCTTTTAGTGAATTACTTCATTCTAAACACAAACCAAAACTTATGGCAGAGGCAAATTTCTTGTATAAACTGTAGCATAAATACTATATATTTATAAAATGTATGCATTTATGATAATAATTGTTTATGGTAATACATGCATAACAGAATTGTTATCATCAATACAAAGAACAGTGACCTCAACAACTTTTTTAAAACTTATTTTTCTTTTTTGGTGACTAAATAAAATCATCAGGCAACACAGTGGAACAACGCTTAGCGCTGTCTCTTCAAAGCAACAGGTGAAGTCAGAGTTCGACTCTACCATCTGACTGGCTTGCATGTTCGCCCTGTGTCTGTGTGGATCCTCACAGACTTCCTTCTACAATCCAAGGATATGAATTTAGTGTGGTTAGGTTAACTGATTATTCTAAATTGCCCATAGGTGTGAATGTGAGTGTGAATGGCTGTCTGTTTCTCTGTGTTAGTGACAGACTACTGACCCGCCCAGCGTGTACACCATCTCTTGCCCTTTGGTAGCTGGGATAAGCTCTAGCCAAACCCTAACCCTACTAATAACTCTTAACGGGTTGCCTTTGATCTGAACAAATCTAAAAGAATTAGACGATCAGAATTTAGAGGCACGGATGTTTATTAACACAGCGATTTAACGTTTTATACCTTATACAGAGTGGATACATGGATGAAAGCAGCCCCGTCACTGATGCCACTGGAGCAAATCAGTGGACTACAGCACTTTATTACTGTCGCGCCGACCTAGTAGGTGTGGCTGTTGCCCTTCTCTTCCTCCTCCTGCCCACTACCTGCTCTGTGCTGCTGCTTGTGCATGGCTGCTGATTTAGACCTTGTGCAATCTACAGCTAAGCGCGGCCTGGTGTGCGCCGCTCCGCCAGGTGAGCTGAATCAGACCAATCAAGGGCTGGCGTGCCTAGTCCTTAAAATGCAT